GTGCCACTGGACTCTTTTGGATTGCTAGCTATTGGGGGGGGGACACATGCAGATCTGTCCTCGCAGAGGAGGGAGAGCTGGTACCTGAACAAAACTTGGTCTTAAAGGTGCCACTGGATTGTTTTGGATTGCTAGCTATTGGGGGGGGACGACAACGTGCAGATCTGTCCTCGCAGAGGGGGGAGAGCTTGTACCTGAATGAAACTTGGGTCTTAAAGGTGCCACTGGACTGTTTTGGGTGGGGTGGGGGCTCTGCAGCTTACCTGGCTGCTTCGTGCTCTGACTGAGGGCTGCTGGGAGCAGGGGGTGGGGCTTGTTGCATGTGCCCACCCCCTGGGCTCTTTACTGCCGGAGCTCTGCTCCTGTGCGCTCCGGCAGGAAATGACCCCTGGGTAAGACTGCCAGCTCTAGGTAGGGAAATACCCGGAGATTTGGGGGCAGGGGGTAGAGCCTGGGAAGGGCGGGTTTAAGAAAGGAAGGGACTTCCGCGGGGCACAGTGCCCTAGAGTCCTCCCTCCAAAGCATCCATGTTCTCCAGGGGAAGTGATCTCTGTAGTTTGGAGATCGGTTGTCACCCCAGGGGCTCCCCAGGCCCCACCTGGAGACTAGCAAGCCTACATGGTGCTGAGTGGAACTGAGACCCACGTGGATGAAGTGCTGTTAACAGCTGCTAAGGTTAAAAGCTACCATTAACCTTGATCGCTTTCTTTTCCAGCAGAGGCTGTAGGGGGCAGCTTCAGCTCTCGGGTCATGACCCCTGAAGATCTCTGTGGCTTCCCCCTGTCCTAGAGGATCCAGAAGCGCGCCACGGATTAACTCGCATTTGCTGCCCTTCAGGGGCTGCATCCGAGCTCAGAATAATGATCGTCGGCAGGACGTTAAGGTAGGGTTGCAGTTCTGGCCCCATTAGAATGAGGCCCGCCTGGACGGTTCCATTCTCTTGCCGTGCTAATCCTCTTACAAAAAGGCCTTCCTGCAACAGTTCTGTTTTGCACAATCCGTGGCGGGTTGACAGACCTGTGGGAGCCTCCACGACCTCCTCCCGCAGGCTGTTCCACGAGGTGGGAGCCACTACGGAGAATGTACATAAATGTATCTGAACCTGTTTGTGGCTGTGGTAGGGATTTTTGTGCCTGGTTCTAGCCCTCATTTCTTGTTCCCCTTTTGGGGGGGGGGTTGTCTTTTGATGCCCTGGGCCTTATTAAACGGGGCTCTTCCTTAGCCGTGGACAATGGGGTGGAATAGTCTTTCATTGCTGATCCTAATGGGTTCCATCAAGTTCCTTCTTTTTTTATGGACCAAAGTTGACCAAGATGGGTGGAGATGGAAAATGGCACGTTGGTACTTACTGTGAAGGTCCATTCTCCTTGGAAGTTCTGAAAGAACTCAAATGTGAACTTGTGGCTCTCCTGACAAAAATATGTAATCTTTCCTTAAAACCAGCCTCCGTTCCTGAGGACTGGAAGGTAGCTAACGTCACTCCCATCTTTTAAAAGGGTTCCAGAGGAGATCCGGGAAATTACAGGCCAGTCAGTCTGACGTCGATACCGGGTAAATTGGTGGAAACCATTATTAAGGAAAGAATTAGTAGGCACATAGATGAACAAAACCTATTGAGGCAGACTCAGCACGGTTTCTGTAAGGGAAGATCTTGTCTCACTAACCTATTAGTGTTCTTTGAGGGGGTGAACAAACATGTGGACAAGGGGGATCCAATAGATATTATTTACCTTGACTTCCAGAAAGCTTTTGATAAAGTTCCTCATCAAAGGCTCCTAAGCAAGCTCAAAAATCATGGGATAAAAGGACAAGTCCTTTTATGGAAGAAGTGCTTCCTTTTATCCATTCTAACCCGACTGCTCAGCAATTTCATGGAGAGTGCAATTTCATTGAGTTCATTAAATAAAACTTTATTATGCTAACCCACGCTACTTTCTCAGAGTCGAGGCCGTCAGACAAAACTTATCAATGTCTCGAGTGTGTCACCTTGTTCTGTCTTAATCGGTTTCAGGCTCTTGCGGCTGGAAGCTCTCCTCCGGATCCTGGCCCCGCCTTGTGGCCTCCACACCTCTGCCAACCAGCCGAACTCCAATCGCACCTCCATCGCTTACACCCCAAGGCAGAAATTCTCCAGGGCCTACCCAGTCCTGTTGGTCAGACCTGACGGCTCGACCATCCACATCCGCTACAAGGCGCCAAGGCGGATTCTTATGGTGAGAGTCAGTGTTCTCTCTAAGCTAAATTAGTGTGAGCTAGCTCCAGGGGTCTTTTTGTAGAAAAAGAGGTGCAGGAGCTTATTAGCATAACTCATTAGCATATGTCACACCCCCTGACATCACCAGAAGTGTTTCATAAGGCCACACCCTTCTGACATCACCGGAAGTGTGTCAGAAGGCCACACCCCCTGACATCACTGGAAGTGTGTCAGAAGGCGACGCCCACCGCTCAGGCTCCACCCCAAAAAATCTCCAGGGTATTCCCAACTCAGAGCTGGCGAACTTCTGCCATTATCATATCATATCACCCACTGAGGGCTCTTTTGTGCTTTCTTGCACCAGTAAGAAGGGGTCTGGGTAAAAGTCGGATCTACATGGATCCTCATGAATTCGTATGATTTTTACACTGAAATGAAATAAAACCACAATAATACGGTAGGGCATGTGCAGGTCTATAGAAGGCACCACAAAAATCATACATCCACAGATTTGTGGCACCACAAACGTGTGAAAACATGATTCCAAAGCATGGACCCCCATGATTTCATTTGATTTTTACACTGAAACGAAATGAAACCAACATCATACTGTACATCATGTCTTAGACTATAGGCACCACTACAAAAATCGTGCCTCCACGAATCCGCAACAGACTCCAGTCCAGGTCTTGTTCTCATGTGCAAGGAAAGGAAGCGGCAGAGCCCAGCGGTGGCAGAACGGGCCGCGCTACTTCCAAGTGTAGGTGGAGCATCAAGGAGGATTTCCTTTTGCAGTGGTTCCCTGTGTGTGTGTGTGTGGGGGGGGGGATCCCTGCAAAACAGCACAGAAGCAGCGCAGCAAATAAAGAGAAGGGTTAGAAGAACCATTTCTCTCTGTTGTGGTTTCCTCTTGCAGCGTTTTCTTTATAATTTGCAGGGAATCCCCACTGAACAACCATTGCACCTCGGCTGCACCCAGGACTTTCCTCCTAGAGGAAAAAACTTCTCTGCAAAGCAAACCAAGGCCATTTTCTGCGCTGCTTCCCTTTGTCCCGATCGTATGTGTCAATTTCACACCATGTGCTGTGTTTTTTTGAGGATTGACTAGACCCCCGGGGAAATGCGGTGAAGCTGCTGAGCAAAATGTGGCTGGGCGGCACGTGTTGTGAAATTGACACGTAGGATCGGAGCAAAGGGAAGAGCAAGCGCAGGGCAGCAGTTTGTGGGAAAATGTGGGGTTTGCTCTCGAGGAGATGCACAAGTGGGAACGCCAGACTCGTTTTCTCCTGAACTGATGGTTTACACATGCGGGG